TTCACATCCACTATCATGAAAGACCTTTTGAAAGATCTGCGAAAGCCAAAATCTACTTGCAAGATTCTGTTGCCATGTGTATTAATGACGTTAGAGTTTGCAGCATATAATTTCATTGGACCAGGATTCAGCTTTGTTTTAATGAGATCTCAAGGTAATACTGATATTACTGAACTGAGTTTACCAAAAACTTTATTTTGCTTATTTTATCAAGAATGTACAGACAGTATTCCTTCTGGAATGAATGCTGTTGCTTCCCGTCTGCGCTAAGGACAGCTTATTTAGTTTCCCTGGTTTTGTATAAGTGCGACCATCTTTATATTTGTTTGCTTTGATACCATGATTGAAGCATATACCATTCTTTAGTGCAAATGTTCGGCTGCAAAATTGGGATCTTTCTCGTAGTCTGGTTGTTGGTGTGTGATCACGACTTCTTCTGGTACTGGTAATCTCTTTTATTAAGACTTGCAAAGCTTGTATGGCTTTTTCTAATTTGTCTAATCGTTGGTCATTAGAAAGTTTACTTGTAACTGCTACTGCAGCGTAATTTTGACCACTGGCAGTCATTACACTTTGTGTTGGATTGATTTCAAGTAACCTATCAGCTAAGGTTGCTGCTACAGTGAGACCGGTTTCTACGTTAGCAGATGAGACCAAGCGAACGAAGTGAGTGTTGGATGGGAGACGCTTTAGACAAAGTGAACGTTGGACATCTGTTACTTTATTATCAGCTAAATCTTGCATTCTCCGTAACAGTTGCGAAGGATTGCTGTCTCCAAGATCGATATCGTCCAGTAAAATTTGTAGTTGATGTTCTTGAGTTGTACTTAGACGACTCGTTAGACTTTCTTCGAACGTTTTATATTTGTAAGTTTCAGGAGTTTGTTGTTACTATATCAGACACATGCTGCAGTAATTCGGGATCAATATAAGAAATTACTGTTCAATATTTGTTATTGTCTTCAATAATCTTACGATGCAATGCTGCGTCAACTTGGATGAACCAAAGCGTTGGACGTTGCTTCCAAAATTGCTGTAGCTTAAACTTTACAGATGCTACCTCATTTTCATCGGCATTAACCTGTGTAGCATTACTTATTGCAGCCTGCTGGTCGTTATTCACCTTGAATGCACCTTCTGTATTATTTGCTGTACTAGAAATATTGTTATTTTGAGTGTTAGTTGTCTATTGCCTTGTTCTGACTGACGAATGTTCAACTCTCGTCATGTGTAAGGGTATTTTTTTGCAAGGTTCGGGATCACCAATATAGTCTTTAGGGATAAACTATTACTATTAAATACGATATTTTTTTATAATAATTTTTTGTTGGCTGTTTAATTTACTACTGTTAATAGAATCTATGGTCAATAGTATCAATCGCTGACAGTGGTACCTCTAGCGCCTCTCGCGATTGACAGCAGGGTATGAAATGTCGAGCGCGAGCGACACCTAAGTTTACCCCACGTAAGTTTTTAAATTTTTTAAATTACCAAAATCGACATTACCGACATACTAGGCGACATACATTTTACTGAAACGACAACAGATGATGCGACGGCGGTTGCGATTATCGGAGGAATTCCCCAGNCAAGGCGAATTCCAGTTTGAAACTCTGCGGCTCGTTGCGCTAACGGTGACATTGATTGATGTTTTATATTTTTCCTGAATTTCTTGTATGGTTCTCTATTCATTTTATAATGTCTATGTATTTAACGTCAATATAAATAGTAATACACTGACGCAGTTTTTTACAGAAGTATTTTTAAATGTACCTAAGTAGGAGAGGGTGATTGTTAGTGGACAATGGAATATCCTAATGAAAATTCAGTATACAGATATTAAACTACAATATATTTAACAGAATATATAATAACCACAACAAAAAAAATGTTAAGGAAAGACATTTATTGAATAAAAAGGGTAGATACAAGTTCAAGTTATAGCTTAATTGTTACAACCCGTACACACCTTCATACAAGATTGTACAAGATGGAAGATAAAATCGATATGATCGACGAACAACATATTCAGTAGATACTACATGATTATGGTTACGATAGTACACGCACAAATGTCGACTCAGATACACAAGAAGATAAGAATGTAATATCCAACACGCCTCTTTTACATCTTCACTTACATTATTATGAATATTATTTATTTTTTAATTTTTGCTATGAATTACATTCTACATTAATTGCTACATAATTGTAGCATTTTTTTCAGGAACTTATCTTTACATAGCTTTACTTAGTGAGTATGTCGGGGTCATTGTTTGCAGATTCGATTTTAATTAAGTCAATGATTCCTCTTTCGAAGTTTTCGCTAACTTAACGATATTAAACTTTTTTCTGCTTAGCATTTTGAGTAAAATTACCGAACTTAGCGATAGTTAAAGCTCCGGCATTATCTTCAATTATCAATTTTTACATTAAAGGTCTCTGGTAGCATTTCAAGTCTCGTCATAATAATTTTGATATCTACCTAGATAATTCACACCGAATAATTTGGCAAAGAGATTTCTGTACAAAATTGTCTGAACTTTCAAATTTGTTTTCATCGGTGTGTTATTAAGTTTTACGTTTTCCAAATCATATTTTTGAAGTGAACACTTCTTTAGGCGCGTTAATCGATTTGTGGTATGGGGGTACACGTATGGATTCGCGTCACTGTCGTGCTTTGGCACCAAGGCGCACGCGCAGCGGCTGAATACACGTATACCCCAACACATTGGCCGTGCTCATTACTGAGATTTTCCACTCAAAGTAATGTAATATTTATAGAGACTTTACGTTTTCTATAATTTTACAGTATACAGCCGTCTAGAAACCTGGCCTTGTTTGCCACCATGTTTGTTGGGTTGCCTACATACATGTGACAATGCACCATCCTAAGGCTGTTGTAGTTTCGGACAAACCCAACACAATTGGCTTGTCGACCGTATCTAGTCTTTATGTGATCACTTCCAAATCGCAGCTTCGTGCGCACAGCTTTATGGATAACTTCTAGTCGTTCTCGTAGTTCGCCCACGTATTCGTCTATAGGTACTGGAGAGTCTCCAAGACGACCAAAATCATGTCCGTAGGTAACCTGGATTCTTAGATTGGTCCCCAGAGTAGCGTTAAATCGTTTAACCATTCCGTCAGACTGTGAATGTAAGAACGTAGTCCTTGTTTTGGTTGGATTCCAATTCCAATAGTACTTCATATCGACTAATCCAGTCATTGACAAGCTTCTCAGCTTCCTGGTTCGATATTGGTCCTTTACTGGCGGCGCATGTCGGACATTTTCCTGCACCAGTCTTCCTCATCGCTTCTACTTCATGACCAATAACATCTCTCGCGTACTTTCCCTAGAATTTTCGTAAGGTCAAAATGTCCTTCTGCTTCTAAGACTTCTGAAATTTTTTTTTTCGGAAGTACTACTTAGAGTTTGTTTCTGGTTGCATCTGGACTTTCCCACATTCTTTTCAAAACGCCGTGGTCCAAGTTAAGGGAAGTCCACTGCGCTCAATAAGTTTTCGTTGTTTGTAATTAGCTGGCTTACATCTACCCACAATCGTCTTGAGGTTCCGGCTTCTTTCTTTCTTACGTTACCGTGTTGTTTGCCTGGGCGATGCTCAATGTCAAACTCATATTCTTTATGTCGTTGCAACCATTATGCAAACTGTCCTTCTGGATTCTTAAATTACAGTAGCCACTTCAGGGAGGCATGATCCGTTCTTAAAAGGAACTTCCGTCTATACAGGTACTTGTGGAAATGTTCGATGGTTTTAACCATAGTTTGTAGCTCTCGACGGGTGACACAATAATTTCGTTCTGGTTTCAACAGTGTGTTACTAAAATACCCGATGACATATTCCTTTCCATCTTGAACTAGGGATAACATACCACCAACTCCCACATTACTAGCGTCGGCTGAAGGTTTCACTGAACTGTGGGTACCTCAATACTGGGGCTCTAGAGAGTGTTATCTTCAGATGTTCAAATCCCTTTTGGCATTTGGGTGTCCAATGGAGCGAAACTCCATCTTCTCTAAGTCTCTGTAGTTGTCAGACTAAATTGGCAAATTCTCGTATCTTCGGTAGTAGAAGCAAAGTCCCAGAAAACTTCTTAACGGCATCCGGTTTGTAGGGGTCGATCATTATTCCTTCTGATGTTATGACATGGCCTGACTTCTCTTCTAAACAGGACGCATTTCTAGGTTCTTAGCTTCAATCTTGCGGCTGACAATTTCTGGAAGGGTTCAGTCACGTTTTGGAGGTGGTCGTCGAAACTTCTTCCTAGTATCATTATGTCGTCTAGGAAAACTAAACAGATTTTCTAGTTTAATCCTTGTAATACAATGTCCATAAGTTTTTCGAATGTAGCCGGTGCATTGTACAATCCAATCAGATTGAACTGCCATAGACTATTTCCAATTGTAAAGGCAGTCTTCTCCTTATCCTGCGGTTGCATATCCACTTGCCAGTATTCACTTTTCAAATCAACAGTAGAGAACCATTTAGCTCCATCTAAACTATCTAGTTTGTCGTCGATTCGGGACAATGGGTAACTGTCCTCCAGCGTTACGTCATTCAACTTCTTGTAGTTCATACAAAATATCGTGGTAATGGTATTTATTACTGCATTTATACTTTGTTATTAAATTTCTTAATACTATTTTTGTTTTTTCTTTTCAATTTCCACACAACAAAAAAAAATTAAAATTTAGTGTAATTTTGAAATGCGCGCCTTAAGTTACGCTTCATAGTCATATGTATAGATGGCAGCGAATATTCGAAGTTTTCTTTTCCAGTACCATTTATATATATATATTCCAAGTATCGTCTACTAATGTAGGGTAAACTTAGATGTCACTAGTATCGTCAAAATTTCGCGAGTTTCTATTTCTAGTCTAGGAGCAGGACAGCCATAATGTTGGGCAAGCATGCTTTCTCTCTTGTCTATGATGGTCAGGGTGTGCGCATGCAATAGGTATGTGCGGTAACTGTTAGGAATTAGGAGTCACGTGGTAATGAAATAAACCAAAACACAGCTGTTGAAACATGTCGAAATTAGGTTAATTTGCTTCGTTGATTTGTTAAGTTTATATTTTGTGTTTTTTGATAATGAATGAATAGAAGTCATTTTATGTTGAACTATTCTCAATGTAAGCATTATTTTAAGTCAATGATCAATCAATTCTTATTATAAAGGATGGTGCTGCGACAGTAGTATTTAAACTGTGTTTGTGGTATACTTGGATTTTTTAGTGTAAATTTCGTATTTGGTGTAAATTCGTAATAATGGTTCAAGTTTTAAGCAAATTGGCCACTACTAAGGTATCCTGTATAGAATATGTGCACCCTTGGACAAATAGTTGTCTTGAAGCTTCCTGTGGGGTGTATTTATATTCAATAATGAGTTCTTTCAAAATTTATTTAACAGTTTATATGGTATGTTTTATATACTTAAATAGAAGTTTATATCAATTTGTTATTTTTATTTTAAGCTGGGTTTAGTTTTGGGAGGTAAAGTACCATCACTGAAGCGACTACAAAAAACATTTAAATCTATTCTTCAATCAACTGCTTTTTTAAGTGGAACAGCTTTGGGGTATTCACTCTTCTTATGCTCTTTAAGGTTTGATGAGATTTAATGAGCTAACTGTTGTGCATGTGTTATAAATCACTAAATTTTAGGAAAATATTTGGAGGATACAACATTTTAACTGTATCAGCTTTTCCTGCATTCCTTTCAAGTGTGTTCGCAATACAAATTGAGAAACCTCACAGACGATTGCTTCTCAGTTTGTATGTTAGTAATGTTGCAACTGAAACATTGTGGAATATGGCCTCTGCAAGAAATTTAGTTAAATCAATTAAATATGGGGAGGTTGCAATTTTTAGTCTTGCAATGTGTATTCTACTAATGTATTTTAAAGGTGGTCATCACAAAAAGTTAGAGGATGGTGGTCAACCTGATAGAATTTTCAGCATTTTAGGGTAAGAGAATATTTTCTGTGATACTCTTTTTATCAATTGATTTTATGTAAGAAAATATATGAAGAGAGAAACAATTTCAGACCATACATTTTTTGTTAATGATTGAAAACAATTTATTAATTTTTTGTGGCTATAAAACGCCTTTATCAAGGTAAACTAATAATTGATGATAAATATTCTGTAAACTTAGCATTGGCAATTGTGAAAAAGCTTTAGAAAAAAACGTCTATCGATGATTATATTGTCGTTATCTTATCTTTGAAATTAATTGAGGTATAGGTGGTATGTAAACGCAATATTTATGAAAGCAAAGCACTTCTCAGCCCATCATTATTGTTTTTATAACTTTTAAGGATTCAATGTAGGACAATTTGACATTCCATGAAAACGTTTTCTTATAAATAAAAGCCTTAACACTACACGGTTTGATTTTATTTAATTGTAAGTTGTACTTTTGGCGAAAATATACTTCTTGCATCATTGGTATTTGTGGTAATGTTAATTATAAAAATGCATTTAATATAGTTGGGACAACTAAATCAGAATATTTAGAAATTATCCTTTGTATTATCTTCCCCAATACTATATTAAGATTTTTTCAATTAAAAGCAACTAGAAAGGGGTGAAATGTTCTATATTGATTATATAATCACCACAGACGTTTCGCCTTTCGATATAAGACTTTATCAAGGTAGATTACTTAGTTAATAAATCATATTAGACGGAGACATTGGAATTTTCCTGTATAATCACCAGAGAAATTACTTATTTGTTAGACACTTAGATGAAAAACTACACCAATTCTCAGTCACAAATTAAAAATAACAACAGGAAACTTAAAATAATAAATCAAGACTATTATTAATATTTATTATTTTAAAA